AATAAATAAATAAATCTTAAAAAAAAAAAAAGACTATGTGCTCTGGAATCTGACTGCCTGAATGTAAATCCCAACGCCCTGCTATAAAAATACTGTGTGACTTAGTCCAAGTTGCTTGGTATCTCTGTGCTTTAACTTCATCATGTGTATAAAATGGTGATCATCACAGTACCTACCTTGAGGGGTTTTATGAAGATCAAAATGGCTGAGAACAGTTCTCAAACATGTTGGCAGCTGTTACGGTTATTAGATACCTAACAAGGGAGCTAAAGAAAAATTTACAGAAGCAGTGCATAGGCTCTAGGACGGGGCTACTCCAAGTGTGGTCCGGGGACAAGCGGCTGGCCTCTGATCGGTCTGGCGCCAACCCCATCAGGTAAGTATGCTTTTCAGCTCAGCTGACGTTTTTCTCAGAGCAAGACATTTTCTTTCTTTCTTTTTGGTAAGATTTTATTTTTAAGTAATCTCCACACCCAACATGGGGTTTGAACTCACGACCCCAAGATCAAGAGTCGGCATGCTCTTCCGACCAAGCCAGCCAGGCGCCCCTGCAGGACATTTTCGAAGAAGAAAGTAGCACGGTTTACCTTCGGTGTGCGCTTCTTACAGTATCGTAGACAATCACTCTGAGGGGCACTGCCCTACGCCACACTGAAGAGAATGGGTAACCAAAGAAACAAAAATATCGAAGCTGGGAGAACAGAATTACATGAAGAGAGAGACTGCAGATGAATAGAGGGTCTAACGCCATTAGGAAAAAACAGAGAAGGCAATGAATGGAATAAACATGATCAAAACCAAATCAGATGAACATGGCGGAAAGGCTTGAAAAAAATCAGAGAACATGCAGGGGCAAAAGGCCGTGACAATAAAGCCGTTTGAAAAAAATACATCGCTACAGAGACTGGAAAAAAAATCAGAATAAAACCCAATGCATCTGAAATAGAAATTCAATGAATGTAACACAAAATTCAAAGATAGAACAGATTCACTGCCCTCAATCAAATGCTCAGCCTTCCCAATCACAACCAGACCGTATGCGCCTTCTGATGCAATTCGATATGTACCCAGCATAACGCATCATGTAGTCTTGCCAAAAATGTTTAGCCCGACTCCGACCAAGTCTTTAGATACAATTACCAGTTTACAGAAATGAGGAGGACCTGAGAAACGTCCATCAAGAGGGGAAGGGAGAATCAAACCGTTTGATGTCCATATCGCGGAAGACTGCTCGGCAATAGTAAGGAATTAGCTACTGATAAATGCACTGATGTGGACCGAATCCCAAACTCATTATGTTGTATGAAGGAAGCCAGATCAAAAAAAAAAAAAAAAGTACAGAATCTGATTCCATTTATATCCAAATTCAGAAAATGCAAATGGATCTACAGAGACTGAGAGCATTCCTTCAGACTTGTCAGGAGGAAGCCTGATCACCCCTCTTCTTCATAGCGTTTCCTCCTTGCCCAAATGGCATTTTTGAGAAACACGTTGCCCTTTATTTTTAAAAATTCGTGGTACTTCTAGGGCTATGTTCTAGATGCTTATGAATTCTAAAATTCAGGCTGCTTTCTCACTCGACTCGGGTCCATCCCCTCAGGACCGCAGGGTGAGGATGTGTAATTTGATGACACGCTGAGGCTGAATCTATAAAATACAAACAGGGGTGCCTGGCTGGCTCACTCCGTGGAGTGCACGACTCCTGATCTCGGGATCATGAGTTCGAGCCCCATGTGGGGCGTAGAGCTTACTAAAAAGTAAGTAAATAAATAAACTTAAAAAAAAAATACAAACAAATTCCCAAAGAGGAAGCTTGTTTTTCTTTAGAGTGAAAGAAAAGCATCCGGCACGGTAAGCAGTTACTAAAAAGGCACGGTCTGAATTCATTCATTCAACAAATATTTAGTTAACCATCTACAGTGCTCTAATAGCTGAAATTCAGCAGTGAACAAAGCAGAAAATATCCTTGCTCTCATGAAGCTTAAATTCCGGTAAAGGTAGATAGACAATAAAAAAGGAAATATGTATAACACATAATAGAGTATAAAATATATATGCACACTCGTACAGTATGTAAGAAAGTGGTTAAGTGTTAGGGGGAAAAAGGTAAACAGAAAGGACTGTTGGAGGAAGTTTTGTTTATTTGTTTTTAAATGCACATGTCAGGGAACAACGGACCCATCTTAATAAGACATGGGTGAGGGAAGGCATCTGTGCGAGCATCTGGAGGAAGAACATCCCGGCCCTGAGACAGGAGAGGGCCTAATGCCTGATGAGGTGGGGGTGCAGTGGGGCTTGTGAGCAGGAGTCCAGAGGGAGGAGGTAATGGGGAGGAGCCGCCAAGGGAAGGTTTTGAGCAGAGGGACGACATGATAGGACTTCTCTGTCACAGGAGCCCTTCTGTCGCGCTGAGAACAGAGCGAAGAGAAGCAAGAACACGAGTGGGGGGAGGAGGCTATTGCAGGAGCCCAGGAGGACCGTGGTGGCTTGTGGCTTGAACCAGGGTGCAGTGGATGCGGTGGGAAGTGGGTGTATTTTCAAGGTTGAAGGGACAGGATTTGCTCATGATGCTGAGTAGGCAGAAGATACAGAGTCAGGAATGTGGGGGAGAGGGCCAGCCCAGGGATGTGTATTTGGCTTTTATCACTGTCTTTAGATTTCAAATACAGTATTTGAAATCTAAAGACTTACGAGATTGTTAAAGATGTACAGACTGAAAAAGGAGTGGTCCACGGGCGGAGCCCTAGGGCTCACCAGCGTTATCGGGTCAAGAACTGCAAGAACCAGCAAAGACAACAGAGAGTGAGTGGTTAGGAAGGTTGGAGGAGTACCAGCAGAGTGTGGTGCTGACCAAGACGCTAAGGGAAGGAGGCGGTTCGAGGGAAAGGGAGCGTGTAATGGTCTTGCAGCACTTCCAGAGGCAAAATGAGCCAGGCCGCCCGAGGAGCCCTGGATGGAGGGTGTAGGGTGTGCAGCTTTGGGGGAAACCTCACTGCACAGGCTTCAAGAGAAAAGAAATTCGAGACTGAGTACAAAGAATTACTTGGAAACATTTTGCCATAAAGGGAAAAAAAACGGGGTAGGAGTTTGGGGGAAGTGTGATGCCCTAAGAGGATTTGCTACAAAGAGGACTGTCTGTGGGGCGCCTGGGTGGCTCAGTCAGGGAAGCGTCTGCCTTCGGCTCAGGTCATGGTCCCAGGGTCCTGGGATAGAGCCCCTCATCCGACTCCTTGCTCAGTGGGAAGCCTGCTTCTCCCTCTGCCCCTCCCCCTGCTCATGCTCTCTCTCCCTCAAATAAATAAATGAAATCTTTTAAAAAAAAGATGACTGTTACCTAAGGAGAAAGAGCTAGTGGAGAGTGATGCTGGAGAGAAAGACGAGGGCTGCTGGAGGGATGGCCCATGTGGGCAAGGGGGGATCCGGTGTACCAACCAATGGGGGGTCTGCCTTCGCCGGGGAGAGAAAGGACCGTTTTCCCTAGTGAAAATGAAAGAGGGCGGAAGAGACAGGACAGGTACGGTGGCTGGGTGCGTGCAGCAGGGGACACCCATGAAAGTTCCCTTCTGGCCACTTCAACAGTCTCAGTAAAATAGGAAAGCAAACCCCTTCCTAAGGACTGCCCCAAACCTCCAGCTCCCTTTGAAACATCAACAGTACAGGATGGAACCGGTTAGGGGGAAATGGCTGTGTCCCCAGCGCTGTCATTCTTTCTGGGCCCCAGTGCCTGTAAGACCCCCAGCAGAGGACGTCCCAGGCAGGAGGAGAGCTCCCCTCCCAGGACAGCCCCTCTTCCTCAGAAACTGCCCAGGGCTTCCTCGGGGTGCTTCCTGCCGTCAGATCTCTTGTCCCCGTCCCTGGCTAAAGGCAAACACCACTGTGAACTTCTCTTTCCCACTCAGTTGACTTTTCTCCCCTAGACCTTTGTGAGGGTTAATTTTCTGCGTCTGCCTGGCTGGGCTCTGGGGCCCAGGTGTTGCTCAAAAGCCAGACCAGATGCCACTGTGACGTACGGGTTTACCACGTAAAGGGGTATCCTGTGAGTCAAGCAGACTACCCCCGCCTCCCGGAACGTGGGTGGACCTTACCCACGAGGTGAAAGCCTTCGGAGCAAGAGAGCTGGTCCCCCATGGACGATGGTTTCACCGACAACGTTTGGAATTCACGATGGTGTGCAAGTGATTCGCATTCAGTAGAAACCACACTCAGAATTGAGAACCTTCCTTAAGAGTGTGTTGCCCTAGAATGAGGTGTAGATACGTGCATTTTTACCACTTGGGAAGAGAGGCTCCCCAACAGCAGGAAGTGAAGTAAGGAACAGAAGGCATTTCAGATGAAGGCATCCAGGGCCTGAATCCTGCAGCCCCCAAGGAGCCTTCTTCTTTCCTATTTGAACACCACCACCTTGTGGTGAATACGCGTAACATCAATGGTTTCTTCAACTAGCACGCCTCGTCGTTAGTAATAAACAAGTGTGGGAAACTGACTCTGCACCAAGACCTCTGGGTTTTAGGGATGTGAAGCCAGGCTATGTCGACAATCACCGCGCTTGCGCTACATCCAGGACAAGGGGCGCTGCCGAAGCGCTCAGGAGGGACCTCTGCAGCCGAGGACACGTACATGAGTAAGGCCGAGGGAGGTGGACGCTTTCTGGGCAAGACGAGCAGCATTTGCAAAACCACTGAGGCACCACAGAGCCAAGGACCTTAGGATCGGTTGGCACCAGGTGCTTATATGGCTCAGGTATGTGGGGGCGGGAGAGGGGAGGGTACCAGTCAGACACAAGGATGGAGATAAACAGGATTAGTGAGGGAGGGGCCTGACATACTCTGTTGAGGACTTTGTGTTTTTTAAGATTTTTATTTTTTTAAAAGATTTTATTTATTTGACAGAAAAAGAGACAGCGAGAGAGGGAACAGAAGCAGGGGGAGTGGGAGAGGGAGAAACACACTTTCTGCCAAGCAGGGAGCCCGATGTGGGGCTCGATCCCAGGACCCTGGGACCATGACCCGAGCCGAAGGCAGACGCTCAATGACTGAGCCACCCAGGTGCCCCAAGATTATATTTATTTATTTGAGAGAGAGTGAGAGAAAGAAAGAGAGAGAGAGAGCATGAGCGGGGAGGGGGGGGGGCCGGAGGGAGAAGCAGGCTCCCCGCTGAGCAGGGAGTCCGAAGTGGGGCTCGATCCCAGCACCCTGGGATCATGACCTGAGCTGAAGGCAGATGCTTAACCGACTGAGCCACCCAGGCACCCAAGGACTTTGAATGTGATCACGCTGGCAGGCAGACAGCCCCTGGCAGGTGTGAGTAGGAGAGACACGATCTGACTTGTTCAGGACGGCTTCACATCGCTGCAGGGCAGGAGACCAGACTGGGGTGTGTACAGCTCTAGTCTGGGAGAACCACCCACTGAGAGGCTGTGGCAGTAACCCA